AGCTTTTAGATAAGGTATCACAAGTAAGAGGTTTCTATTTAAGACTATGAAGTGGGTGTGGCTGGGGGCGAGGGGGTGTGAAAAAAAAGTTTTCTATTACATCATCCTCCCCCCCATTATGGAAATTATTTTCAACGATTTCTTATATATATGTTATTTGGTAGCTCAGATATAGCCATTGTAAGTTTTCGAATTGTCACCCAGTATAAATATTTGTATGTAGTACACCTGTTATATATTTTACAAGATATGGCATTGAATTCCTCAAAAATCCATTGAAAATTAGCTCTCACTAATATTAATTAATTCAAAAGGAATATCTTGGTATATGAGGATTTCATTTCTTGTGGCTTGTTCTTTCCAGACTCCCTCCTACCTTTACCTAGCCAAATGGTTTCCTTTTCCCAATCCAGTGTTCGGAGATAAAGAACTCCACGCCAGAACCAGAAAAATGGTAGAATGTTTAGTTTATATATTTATTGTATTTCAATTTTGAATATCAGCTGATTTTTTTAATTGACTTGAATGAATTCATTTTCTTCTTCAGAATCTATGATTTCTCTTTCAAATTGAAACGGGTATACTTTAAGGAGAGAATAATTTTTGAGAAAGAATGGTTTCGACTGTCTACTTCTCCGTCTTCATACAAAATATGTGGGAATCTTCCCAAGAAGATTCCCAAAATCGATTGCTTCCTTTCTTCCTTCCTTTTTTTGGAAGATTCCCAAATTTTTTTGTATCAAGACGGAAAAGTAGAAAGCCAAAACCTTTCTTACGGTTTCTTATAACGAAAAATATTTTCAATATTTTTAAAAGTGTCAGTTTTTTACCAAAAACTCTCAATATCTATACTGTGCTACTTTGAAAATAGTTTTTGGTTAATATTTTGGAACAACATGAATGGTTTCCAACTCGTAGCTGAGCAATAGACAATTGTAAATTAATTTCGTGATAACGTCATATACAGGGTGGCCCACCACACCAATGAAGAGAGTTACGGAAAAACTTTTAGCACAGTTATATGTGGGTCGATGAGGAGCATATTCCAAAATCATTTTGAAATATACAGGGTGACTCCCAAAAAAGTTACTTACCAAAGTTATGTGAAGGTTCGACGACTGTCCCAGTTAAAGAAGAATCTTTTATAATTTTCGGATATGCAGTCAATAAGGGGGATGGTAAAATAAGTGAGCTCTTTTTTCTGTTCTAGCTTTCGAGTCTTTATTGGCTTTTCATCAGGAACTCTTCAATGAATTGATAATTGATTTTAATATTTATTTGACAAATTGTGAAACGTGTGACACTTACGAAAGTGAGGTTAGTAATCCCTTTCACTTGCCGCGATTTGTAAACATAACATTTCCCAAACGACAAACACTCATGGTAAAAAACAACATGAAAATAATAAACTTTACATTGTGTAATGATTGATTAGATTTGAAATACATTCAGTATTTATTAAATCATAGTCTCCATGGCAGACTATGATTTGAAGTTGACAGTAATAAAATTTTTGATAGTGATTTTTTTTGACCTTATTGGTCCGACGACCCTTATTTAGATAGGGAAAGTAGGTTGAGTGACACCTTGTTTTAAAGGTCTTTCGAATACCTTTACAATACCTGTTGAAAGAAAATTTTTGTAACGATTAGTTTTCGAGATAATTTGAAGATTTAAAGGTATTTTTATTGGGTTCAACTCGGGGGATGGGGTTGGTTACCACCCTTACATTTTAGGTAAATTGAGTGGCACCTCCTTATGAAGGTTGCCTTTTGACGTGGATATTTTATGCTTCTGATAAAAGAGTGAATCATACTAAAAACTTACCTACACAACGAATACAACCCTGCTGATTTCCTTGAATGCTGATGACACAGAAAAGTTTAAAGAACTGTTTTAGGGTTAATAAATTCCCCAATAATTGTTTTTAAAGCACACACAAAAAAAGTAACACCTAATAAGGGTAACTCACATAGGAAATTTAGAGTAAATGTTCAAAATATGCGCCATTTTGCTCCATGAAACAATGAAGATTTTGTTCTAATTTTGCTCTTACATTATTCAACATCTCAGGAGTTATAGCTTGTCATTCATCAATAATTCTACAACGTAATTCATCCAAATTGGCTCGCTGTGTAGCATAAACTTTAGACTTTAAATATCCACACAAAAAGTAGTCCAGTGGTGTTAAATCTGGTGATCGTGCTGGCCATTCAATTGGACCTCTTCTGCCAATCCATTGTCCTTCAAAAGATTATTCAAAAAATTTCTAACCTGCTGGTCATAATGGGGTGGTGCACCGTCTTGTTGACAATGAATATATATATCTTGACATCATCCTGTTCAATTATTTCAACTATACGAGGTTGTATTGCCTCTTCAAGAAGTTGTAAATAAGAATCACCGGTTAAATTTCCATCAATGAAAAATGGACCTATAATATGATTGCCTAATATTCCGGCCCAGACATTCAACTTTTGGGGATGTTGGGTATGTATTTCTGCGTATTGTCTTGGGTTTTCATCCGACCAATAACGGCAATTGTGACGGTTCACGCAACCATTTAAATAAAATGAGCTTTCGTCCGAAAAACAGATGTTGTAAAGCAGCTCGGGATTTTGCATTAATCTCTCTCTTATGCCCTCACAAAACTCCTGTCTTCGGTCAAAATCATCCTCATTGAGTTCATGAACAAGTTTAATTTTGTGGAATTTGTGGTTTTTAAGCATTCTCCATGCGCTCATATGGCTATTCCGGCCTTTGCTGATAAACCTCTGGTACTTAACCTGGGATTGGCGATGACTTGACCAATCACTCCAATCGCATTATCGTCATTCGATACCCTTCTCTGAACATTTCTTTTCTTATTTAAAACCAAACCTGTCTCCCTAAATTTTGTTACCAAATCCAGAACGTGATTTCTGCTTAGGTGTTTACCAAGGTTTTGCTCGTTGAATAAAATTCATGTTCTATTAGCATTTTGGTCGTTGCCAAAAAATAAAGCAATAACTGAAACCCTTTCAGCAGTAGTGTAAGGCATTTTTAAACAAATAACAATACACGACCCGTTTAAACAGAACAATCGAACGATTTACTAATAAAACTGGAAGAAGGGGAGTGGGTATCGATTTTAAAAAAGGGATTTTATTTAACAAAAAACTGATAAGAAGAACTGCTTGAATTTTTTTTATTTAGGCATACAAGTTATCGAGTGGTCTGTCTAATGTATTATTAACATGGCAATTTTAACTTCAAATTATCTCGAAAACTAATCGTTACAAAAATTTTCTTTTTAACAGAGTTGTAAAGGTATTCGAAAGACCTTTAAAACAAGATGCCACTCGACCTACTTTCCCTATCTAAATAAGGGTCGTCGGACGCACCCCTCCGAGGGGGTGCGTACTACAAAAAGTCTGATTAGTCTGAAAGGTGTCCCTCTTTAATTAGAAATCGACGAGTCCGAGCTTTTTTTAAAAATCTTACTTTTTATATTCAAAAACGGCTCTGTTAAGTTTTCGTCGTTACACACTGTAAAGAGGTATCTATCTACATGACATCAAATATACTGGTCGTGCATAAAATGTTGTTTGTGTTTCGGGCGTAATTTGCTCTTATGGACCTAGGCGTGTTGATAGTTACTTACACGCTGCGGTCCATAAAAGCCTGTTTTATGCCCTTGATACATAAATAAATGCAGAATTTAGCCAATATTCTTCCTAGACTCATTTCATTGGACAACGGACGCCGTCACTTGTTGTTCAAAATATTACCAAAATCTGAAAAGTCATCTGATATTCGAATTCACTTTTTTTTAATCACTACAAAGTATCCTTACCTTCCCCGTAAATCATTTTTTACTGATATATCATTATCACACGAAATGTTGAAATATTTCTCACTTCGCTTTCATTATCAACAGCGCACGAAAATAAACCAACTGCTTTTTGCTTTCATTTGTGATTTCATTTTTGTTTAGTGGTTTGAAATGTACTCGTTTAATGCATGCAAATTAGATTTATTCTACGGTCAATACACCAAGTTTGTTCGCTCGACATGTTTATTAAAATTGCAAGGTAAATGTGCAATGCAATGGCAGCTCAGGAAACTAAGTATGTTTGATATAGTAAAACAGTACGAACATAGATATTTCCATAAGAGGGAAAAATGAACTATCAGTAGGAGTCACGTCGCTTGAATGTGAAACAGAGTCAAAAAGTTGATAAATTATAATAATACAAGTAGTCTAATCAACAAGTTCAAAAACATGAAAAATAGGGATGAAGGTCCTAAAAATATGAGCGATAGCTCATTCGATTCGGAATCACCTCTAGAAAAATGTTTTTCAAGGATTTTGGTGCAGGTAAAAAATTGCAATTGTTATTAACAAAACAAGATTTAAAAAAATGGTATTTAGTTTTTTGTTAATAACTCAAAAAATATTATTATTTAAGCAATTTTGAAAAAAAGCTCGTTGAAGAGGAGGAAATTTCCGATAAAAAAGTCCCGAACGTTGGTCAATATTTGTTCATAACAAATTGTTAAACTAATAAACAATTAAATGATGAATAAATAATTTTTTTTGTCAAACTATTTAAAAGTGTAAACTATGATTTTCAAAAGCAAAATTATTTCTAAAGATGTAACGTGGATGTCGTGGTCGGAGTGGAATCTAAAAGTGAGGTATTTTTTAAAAAAGTAAAGTCAAGTTTGAACAAATATTAAAATGAAAGACATTTTGGGGGGACTGGCGGCCCCCTTCGCCCAGGAACCAGGCTGGATGTCGACGGATTCGAAATGGTCGTCAGTGCGATAATAGATGTGTTATTAAATTGAGTGTTTTTATAAAAGAGAAAGTGAATGAGGAAACTGAGGGTGGCAGCATTGCCTCAAGTAAGATAGCTGCGCCCCCATACGAAGCTTCTGTTCACTATGGACATGAGGGGTCTGGCCATATGCGCTCTACTGAGAAGCATCGGCCATATAAATTAAAGAAGAAGAAACTAACTTCAGGGTGTCGGTTTTTCGTGACGGTGCGCGTGTGCATCGTAAAAATTTACTCTCAGAATTTTTTCCCAATGCGTCAAACGAAGTATGACTTCAAAAATTCAAACATACCATCCCTTACATAGTATTTTGTGTACAGACCATCTAATTTTAGAAATACCGTTATCTAAGATCGTCCAAAGAATCAATCAATAAGTTTACCGTTACAGGAGAGTTGAAATTGAAAGTTTCTTTTTCATAACAATGGAAAATCGAGCGAACAAACAATGGTTCCTATTGAAATCTTCTCTATAGTTGGCTAACCTAAAAACTTAGGTTTGTCACGTATTAGTACAAACTTTGATTCATAAAACATTATTGGACAATTTCTAATTCATGGCGAAGGTAATGTTCATGCTTTGAACTTTTTAACAATTCAAAGAAGAGTTTCACATCAATTGGAACATTTATGTAAATATGCCAAGGTGTGCATGTGTCTGCATTGCCATACTTTTTAGTGACGAGTTTGATAGCAGTAGATATGAAGCAAGAGCTCCCGAAGATGATTTCAAGAGTTACATAAATTTCCAGTGAGATAAATGAAATTCTACTTTGAATTGTATTTCATTTTTGAAACTTTTTATTTGATAGAATTGAAATCTGTTTAGTTACTGACTCTTTGGTCCTGGCTTCCGGTGAGGATTACCATGTATCAACCGATACTGCTTTACACGACTGAAGAACATGGATGTTCCCTCACGACCTTCTACGTTAGAGTAGAGCAACATGAACCCACGCTTCTGATGATCAAAACGTGCAATAATGAGGTAGGCATTGAAATGAAGCCGTTATGTTTGTGAACGTAACTTTGACCAGATTGTTCCAAAAGTTTTGTATTTTTTGATGACTTGTGTTTCTGTAGCTCCATATGTCAATGAATATTTACTCAACATCCATACAATACTCGACTGAAAAACCAAACAACCAGAATACCAGAGGTTGGATCTACAAAAAACTAAAGATTCCTTTCATTTCTATGTCCGATCATTTACAGAAAAATCCCAAATGAAATAAAAATGCTCAATGGTCGTTTCCTATTTAAAAAGAAGTTGAAGATTTGGATTTTAAATCAGCCCCCCGAACAAATTCTCGAAACTTTTCAAAGAGAAATTTAGAAAATGACACAACAAGAACATATTATAAAAAGGTTAAAAGTGTCATAGTATAAATGACATCTGTCAGTTGAAAAACAACAGCACAAATATAATATTTGAATTGTCAACTAGAAAAAATCTTTATAAAATACAGTGTGTCTCACTTCTCATGGAGGCATCCCCGTATCTTCCGTAATATTCGAGGTGGAACGATGAAACTCTCAGGACTGATGAAAATGCTCAAAATGCACCTACCACCTGAATCGGGTTGGCCAAAGTGAGATACACTGTCCGCCACTCGCGATGGAACACCTTTTATGGGTTTTCTATTTTATTCGATATTACTGTTACTCACTCTTTTGTACATCTGAATATTATGAGCAAATAAATTATTATTATCATTATATTATTTTTTTACCGAAGTATGCGCTGGTCAGACCTTATCCCCCGAAGCCCCGATATATTCGGGAGGGCGTGCCAGCATTATCAACCAATGTACTCTATGTTCCTTTTTTTCGGCGAACACCATATATAGTAATGAACTGAAAAGAGGCAAAAAATTGAAAATTGGGAAAAAATGAACAGCTTTATTGTATAGAGTACAGAATACCTTATCGATCAGTATAAACCACGACAGTAGAATAAATATTATTTGAGATATGGAGCGAAGCACAAGTCAACAAACTAGACAAAACTTTTGAAACAATCTAAAATTTTTGTAACATGGGCACATGTTATTGTAGAAATACAAAATAAGTAGTAAAAATTGAAAGTTCATTTTTTCGAAAAACTCTCATCGTTGGTAATGAGATATTTTCATACCTACTTAATTTAAAATAAGCAACAAAAATTTGTTCATATTCCATTTCAATTCTAACTTCACGCAGTGTGTAAAAGCCGAATGGAATAAATTCATTATTTCGGTTACTCTAGCATATTTTAAAAAAATTCCGAAACAAGTCAAATGTAAATTATAATTTGACATTCTTCAACGGAAAAATGCTACTCCTACCTTCAACCCCCGTCGAATGACAGGTACAACCCCCAATTTTTCAAATGTGAAGTATAGGTTTGTGATATATCAAAAATGTTATCGCTTTCAAGTGTATTGCAACAATTAAGATAAAATAACTAAAATATAATGCAAAACGTAATGAAATATAGAATACGAAAAAGTACTACGACTGTTAACGAAGTAGATGTCAAAATGTTTACCGCGAACGTCTTGGCAACATCTTAATCTCAAATAAAACTGTCTTCTAACATTATTTAACATATCAGGCGTAACCTACCTAATCTCAAGCGTTATTCGTTCTTTTAGGTCATTCAAATCTGAAGTTTTTGTTTTGTACACATTGCTCTTTACATGTTCCCATAAAAAAATCTAATGATGAAAGATCAGGTGAGCGCGCTGGCCATTCAATCGATTCTCGCCTCCCTATCCACCGATTGGGAAATGTTGTATCGAGGTATTGCCGGACATTAACTTGGTAGTGTTAGGGTGCTCCATCCTGCTGAAACCATATCGTATTCACTGGAACTTGCGGGTTTCCTGGATCAGGATATAAATTTGCTGAACTTGAAATGACATCATTTTCAAGTAGTGCCATTAAAGTTGCCCAAACATGAACCTTTTGAGGGTATTGCGTGTGTTTTTCTTTCATCCAGTGAGGATTTTCCGTTGAGCAGTAGCGGCAATTTCACCAATTAGCATGATCATCAAGAGACAAAGTACTCTCATTAGAAAACATAACCTCTTCTAATTGGATGATATTGTTATCCAACATATCCATCATTTGCTCACAAAAATAAGTTCTAGCAAAATCCATGAGCTCCTGAGTAGGTGTCATTTTATAGGGATGCATTATATTTTCTTTTAATATGTTTAGTTCGATGTATGGCTAACATTGAATGTAGTAGATGCCTGTCTACTCGATGTATGTGGGTTTTCCTCAAACTCAACCATCACATATAATTTGAGTTCATCGCTCATTGCATTGGCAGCTGCTTTTTTTATCTGTCCCACATGAACAAGCTCGCGAAACTGCTTCTCTATTTTGCTCATTGTTCCTTGAGATATGAGCGGTAAATTAAAAAATTTCTCATGAAATAGGCGTGGTACTTCCTGTTGTTTTTGGGTTTTATCTCCGTAATCAATCATTTATAAAACTGTTATTTTGTGCGTTTCCGTTAATCTAACCATTTGTCAGACTTGAAGTTAACAAACTTTTAGACTTAAATTAAAATACTGACAACTACTGTTGTAACATACAAAACAAGTTGACAAAACGTTGCCACGGAAATTATTTACAGTTTTTTAAAGGATACTATCTAAAAAGAACATTACTATGGTTTTTGTATACGTTCTTATTATCAATACTTTAATATGAAGTAAGTTTTGAGTATATTGCAATAAGTTTTGAGTGTATTTTATCGAATTTCGGTAGCCACATGATTTTAATTTATTTTATCTTAATTGTTGCAATAAACTTGAAAGCAATAACATTTTTGAAAAGAGAATTAAGACACTTTTCAAACGATATATCACAAGCCTATATTTTCCTTGGGGGTGAAGGTAGGGGTAGCATTTTCCGTTGAAGTATGTAAAATTATAATTTAAATTTGACGTGTTTCGGGATTTTGTTAAAATATGTACCGTAACCGAAATAATGAATTTATTCCATTTGGCTTTTACACACTGTATATTCAAGGAATGAAAATAGCCTGAGCCTCATAGGATGATTAGATCGTTCAAAAAAATCCTAGCCCAAACGTGCTAGATGTCTTATGTTCTAAATAATCTGAATAGAATTCGTTGAAAAATAAAGCCATGAACTGCTTCACTAAACTTGAGTACACTTTTAGTTTTTTTTCTATTCACTACATATTGGTTTCAGGTATTTGGTGCGTACTGTTCTTCTCGTTGGGCGGAGAGGAACATCAAAGATGACAGAGGAAATAGACAGGCCTATTTCGGCACGGGAGAAACCTTTTTGTTCTCTTTGTATCCAGAGAGAAATAAATATACTTGGGTCGGAATGGAAGGCGACAAAGTAGGCCATGGAGCCGAATTATTTATGGCTGCTGATTCCAAAATGATCACTATCGGTGGCGGGTTAGTATCATGTTATTTCTGTAAGAAGCCAAACAGGCAAGTCTGTTGTCGTTAGCAAAGCAATATATTGGATTCTTGGTTTTTTCCAATAAGTCGTTGATATACAATAAAACGAGGGCTGGGGAATGTATTAGATCCCTGTGGAACACCAGCGTTGATGATGAAAGTATTCGAGAGATAATAATAATAATAGGTTTATTTCATCACATTAACTACAAAATGTACAATAGTGAGTGACAAGTCAAATTGATAAACAAGAAGTAACAATAGTTGTGGTTATACACGCTAATTACATCTACAATAGTTATTTTTGGAAATGAAAAAAAAGTGAAAACACGTTTAACATATTGAAAGATTAATGTTTCACAATTCAAATATTCGTCGATGGAGTAGAAACAGTGCCCTAATAGCGAGTGCTTAACTCTAGCCTTGAAACGGGTAATGTCTGTTGGTATTTTATTTTATTGGGTCTCCCATTCGGAGTTTTCCAGTTGGTCTCCAAAAGTATGGGTCTTTTCTAATCCTCTTATCCTCATAAAATTCAATATTCCCGAATATCTTTACCAAAGCAACCCGTATGTTTAGGCCTTTTCCCACATATCAAAACCAAATAATAACTCTTGTTACTTATCTCTTTCTCTTCAAGCGGTGATCAAATTAATATAAAAGAATCTAAGAATTGGTTATTTTAATACATTATATTTTTTATATGATTTTGCGTTTCTTGGATTCTGATGAAAATATTTTTTCAAACCAGGATTCAGATTTATTTATTTACGGAATGTCTATTATAGCATTGTACAAGTTAATATAAAATCATGCGCATTTAT